GCAAAGCACAAATGTTGTATCCATCGGCCATTGACACTCTAGTTTTGTACGCTGGTTGTAGGCTGGTTCTAGGATAGTGACACCCCTGACACCCCCCCCTGACGCGGCCCGCATGACCAAAATCTGCGCACAACCGTCTTGACGAACAGGTGGATCAGGTCTGCGTCAAAAGGGCTATGCAACAACTGGGGCCTAGCTCAGAGGGTACACCCCTGACCTGAGTTCAAACTCCTCCCTTCCTGGGGAGGAGCACCTGTTCCGACCGTCCTGACTAGGTTCTGTTCGGAGAGTCCGAGTCTAGACGGTCGTAACGAGTAACGAGTGCTCTCCGAACCGTGCGAGATGGCCACCCTTCCTCCAACGCAAGTTGCCTTTTTTTTTGTTGTTGTTCTCGCACTTTACTCAAGTTGCCTTTCGAGTGAAGTACTGCAAGGCTGGTTAGGCACACGAGTGGCATTCAGGAGGTGGTGGGTTCTGCCCACACGTGCATGTGGTCTGCCTAAGAGCACAGACACGTTTGTCTTGATCATGCTAGCAAATCACGAACCTGAAGGTGAAACCGGTCAGGTTCGTTCTGTGTTGGAAGAACCAGACCGATTTCTGGTTCATTCTGCCCACACGTGGCTGTGGTCTGCCTAAGAGCACAGCCACGTTTACGTCTTGATCATGATAGCAAATCATGAACCTGGAGGTGAAACCGGTCGGATTCATTATGACCATAACACCGTTGCCGTCTTACCTCGTAGTCCTAAGATTACGCTACGTATACTGGCCTCTCTACAGTCATGCTAGCAAAGCATGAACCTGGACGGGGAACCGGTCAGGTTCATTGCGACCATACATCGTTGCACTCCACCTTGTAGTCCGAAGATTATGGGCCTCGCCCCACTACTCACCACACATGCACAAAAGACAAAAACATGGCCATGTATCTGCCCATGTTCTAGTGGCAGGTTCATTCTCATTTTGCACATTTCGAGAGTAGCGGAGCGAGGCCTTATGCCCCATATACTGGTCTCTGTACAGTCCGAAGATTATGCCCCGTATTCTGGTCTCACTACAGTCCCAACTATCGTCTAGAAGACCACATGCCAGCACAGAGAGAGAGAGAGAGAGAGAAACGAGGTGTTCCAGTTAAGAGTAAGACGACAAAATACGAAATGGGGGAGAAAAAAGGGCATACTGGGACATTTCTGTTGTCGGACTCCCCGTTCAAAGGGCAATCGCTATATTCCTTTCAACCATCATACAACAAACAAAAAAAACTAAAAAAACTAAAAATAGTAAAAATAGAAAAACAAAAAAAAGAGCATGACAAAAAAACAAATTAATAAATTAAGAGCCACAAGGAAGTAGTTCGGATTGTTCTTTTTCCCAAGCCAATTTTTCAGGAATTACGTCTGCGCTTCTCCGGGAATTCCCTCTCTCCCCCCCCCCCCAACAGAAAAAAAAACCGCGCGGAACACGAGGAAGCGGGTGGGACCGGGGAGGCGCAGAGGATTCTCAATGCTAACTGAATGATGAAAAGTTTCTTTAAAAAAAAAAAAAAGTATCGAACTCGAACAGGAACAAAGTTTCATTGCTGCCATGAATAGAGTTAAAAAACACGCAAAACAGAAAAGAAAAAAAAAGAAAAAAAAGAATTAAAAAACACGCCAATCATCACCTAATGGCGACGAACAGCAGTTAAGCTAGGCTACCAGCCGGGCCGCCCGGGTCACCGTGCTTTCCCGGGGCGCACGGCCGTGCAAGGAACAGAGAAGGTCCTAGCAACAAAAAAAAATCCGCAAAACAACTATGCTATGCAGAAAAATGAAGTGAACAACTTTGCATCAGGGTCACATCTAAATTCTTTACCAAATTTAAATTAGAAAATAAATATAAAAAACATTTATTTCATTTTTTATTTTTGGGGCAAGTGGTCCAGGGCCACTCTTGAAGCCTAGCAGTTATGCATTCACTGTATTTACTATATACTATACGATATTAGCTATATTTACTATAAACTATGGGAAACATTAGCTATATTTACTATATACTACGCGGTTCAATCACATTGTAAGTAATAGCTGTGTAGCATCGTGTTCGCGCTCGGTGACCGAACCCGAACGTTAGCGACCGAACGCGAATGCGCGCCAGAACTCTCCGAACGCGAACACAAAAACATTTTATTTTTTTTAACTCAAAAAAATCTGAAAACAATATACGTCATCCAGAATGAACATTCCAAATTGGTTTTGCCCAAATTTACTAAAAAATAATAATAATAATATAAAAAACCCTGCTCAGACCAGCCCTCGGGGAAAAAAAAAAAAAAAAGAAAAAAAAGTCTACGGCGCACTGATTCTTCTTCTTTTCTATTTCCTGTGCTTCCGCCTTTCCTTCTCTTCTTTTCCATTCGCTCCACAAACAGTTTATTCTAATAACACCGTTGACAGACAGATCACACAGGTTCCGACTCCTGACGCAAGCGTATAACTATCAGAGGCTACCCTCGCTGTGGGAGCGGAGGGGTATACCACGGCGGGAAGAGGGGGGGGGGGGGGGGGGGGAAGAGTACTACAAAGAACGAAGATCAACTTAATCCTCCTCCTTCGCAGCTGTTATAACAACTCCAGGGCACGATTACTGCCTTTCCAATAGGCCTGCAAAATACAGGCCTACAGTCTTGCCCGGCCCGAATAGAACGTACGGTCATTGTAGCCGTATTTGGCTCACCTTTCAGTCCAGATGCAGCGGAAATGACTGTATATAGATAGAGGTGTTCTATTCCGGAGAAGACGGTTAGGAGGCCAATGCGATCTATTTAGGGAAACAAAGCACACAGCATTTCATTGTCCCTTCGCCGTTCGATTGGGAATTGCGATTAGGATTGGGATTGGGATTGGGATTAAAAAAAAGACTTTTGCCCCAAGGTCACATCGAAATTCTTCACCAAATTTAGAATAAAAAATAAATTTTAAAAATAATTCTTAGTTTTATTATTCTTGTTTTTTTTGGCCCGGCCGGGCAAGTGACCCCGGGCCACTCTGGTAGCCTAGCTTTATTTTCTTTTTTTTTTCTTTTTTTTTTTGGACCATTTCTCGATTTACGCGTGTCATCCTTTGCGCAGCGGCCATACTAATCTCCTTTCAGTGTATCGTTCCAATTTAACGGATGTCCCGAAGGACGTTTCTTTCTTCTCGAGCTTTCCCCCCTTTCATATATATACACTACACGCACAGAGAAAAGAACCATCTACCATCTCCTTTTTTTTTTTTTTTTTTAACTCCTTTTTCTTGATCTCTTTCCAATTGAGTTTCGAGACAACTACCAACGTTATTAAACCGGCACGCCGCAGGCCTCTGCAGGGCTATGACAGGCTTGCTATCCACGACGAATGAACCTAGCCGGCCGCAGGCAGGTCGGTACATCGAAAGCGCCGCCGCCGTGTGCGCAAAAAATGGCAAAAGCCTCGAGCTACCTGCTCTCCCCTCGAACATAACGTAATTCCCTCCCCTCTCATCATCGACGTGTGCGGTCCTTATCCCGATCAACCCCACTCATGAAGGCTCATCATCGACGTGTGTGGTCCCTATCCCGATCAACAGCACTCATGAAAGCTCATCATCGACGTGTGTGGTCCCTATCCCGATCAACAGCACTNATCGACGTGTGTGGTCCCTATCCCGATCAACAGCACTCATGAAAGCTCATCATCGACGTGTGTGGTCCCTATCCCGATCAACAGCACTCATGAAAAAGCTGATAATAGAGAGTTTTAAATGGTAATAAGGACATACTTAATACAGAGAGACTTAGGACAGACGCTCAGCATACTGATGGAGAATTTGCCGTATTTTCTATTTACAAGCGTTTGCCAGCACTACTTCCCGCTATCAACATCAACGGAGGATACGGCGGCCTTCCTCCTTCAAAAAGAGACGCTTTGTCATTCCCACTGAATTTCTGACTACATTCAACCCAGCAGCACCCCCCCAAGCCCCATATAGCTTGCTTGCTTCTTTTATCCCATGCTTTCTGATCAGCAAACCACGTGCGCATCCTGATTAGGACAACATGTGCATCTTGATCAGGAAACCATCCGTATTCCGATCGGGAAACCACAACCGCTAGCTGCTGTTGATTGAACGGATATAAAATTGATTGATGCGCGCGCGACTTTCCTTCTTTTCCGCAGATGGACCGGAGCGCCCAGTGGAGAGCAGGTTCAGTGCATTCTCAGGCATGAACCTGGTCAAAATCCCGTTCATGCCAAGCTACCACATAACTCAACAACTGGCGCCTGACTGAGTCGAGCAAGTCGTTGACCCCCCCCTTCCGCACAAAAAACCCCTCCCCCCCACCTTCCTCCCTGTCACATGGATATCTGGTGCCTCCGAGTAGGCTCTAACAAAAAGAACACGAACAGACACTCCCAGAAAACGTTTCTGCATTTGTGCCACGTGTCATCCTCTCAAGCACTGATCACGCTAATTTACTCAACCTCTTCTGGTATACTGTTCCAACTCCAAGCTGTGATTTCCCAAAGGACGACCCGACGAGACCTCACAAGCAAGGCCCTCCTTCCTTTACCAACGGCGATAATAAAATCATACTGAAAGAAAGAAAGAAAGAAAGAAAGAAAGAAAGAAAAAAAGAAAGAACTGAACCGAACCGAACCAACCAATCCCACTCACATATGCCCCATCCCACATTGTCTTCATTCTTGATTAACCGATCCCAAGACACGGACCAATTGAAAGAAAGAAAGAAAGAAAGAAAGAAAGAAAGAACCGAACCGAACCGAACCGAACCAACCAATCCCACTCACATATGCCCCATCCCACATTGTCTTCCTTCTTGATTAACCGATCACAAGATACGGACCAATTGTTGATTTACTAATACATCTAACACCAAAACGCATCACACAGCAGAAACACACCGCCAACAGATAAAAACAAGCCACAAGAAAAGAGCAGAAAGAACACACGCATTTCCGAAAGGCCTGGACTCACCTAACCAAGAAGCCAAATAGATCGTCCTCCATATCCTCCTCCACCTCTACCGCTCTTCGACGGCGCCTTCTCTCATCTGGCGATGGCGAAGGCGAAGGCGATGATGACGCCGCTGAGGAGGAAGAAGACGCCCCCACCGACATCAGACGCCTTCCCCCACGTCCCGATTGCTGCTGCCAGTACCAAGATCCCGACCAGCACGTGATCGGATTACGTGTGGATCCCGCACGTGTCCAGCTTCGACTTCCGGCGATTTCCGACGAGGCGCAGTTGCGCGGGAAGCGGGTGCGGGTGAAAGTAGCGCTGCCGCCGTAAGGCGACAGGCGGCGGGCCACTCTACCGAACGACGGGCACAACAAGTCCCGCGCGCTCGTTTCGCCGGAGGTGGTAGCCGCGCAAACGAGCGGCGCGCAATGAATGCAACGTTGCAGAGTTGTTGGCGGCGGCGGAAGCGCGCCAAGTGGCGGCAGGCCAACCGCCTGCTGCTCTCCTCCGCCCCCGCCCAAGGCCTTCGTTCCCGCTTCTCCGCACACCACGCTCGTCATCTCGAACCCGGATCCCGCCAATCTCTCGCGCAAGCCGCCGCCCATCAACGCCCCTCCCGCTGCCACCTCATCAGAGCGCCGCGCAGCATTGTGATTCAATCGCAGAATTCTACGAGCCGCCTGCGGAGTGCTGACCTGGCGTTGACAAGTGAGCTGGACACGGCCTCGTGGCATTCGCATCAGCTTCCCGCTTCTGCAAGCATGCGAATCGAAGCCACACCGATCGTCATGAGACGAAGATCCGCTCTGCCGCGCGTACGCGCCGCCGATCTGCGGCGGCGTCGTTCCGCCCGCCGCCGCGTCCGGCCGTCGGAGCACTGCATCTTGGCGCGAACGTCCTACCTCATCACAGATTGGCGCCAAAAGAGTCGCGCGGCCGCCGACAACAGCTTGCGTGGCGCAGGACTGCATCGTCGCAGGATTGCCACGGCAGCCAGCGGGCGGACGCCCGCGGAATACCCACCACTCGGCGCGGAGGGAGATGCCAGCACGCCCAGTCCCACTCAGGCGCCGTCCTCACCTTGCAACACGTGGCCGATTTTGCGCAAAACGAGAGCGCGGGAAACGAGACACCGGCACCGCAGACGAGAGGGGTGGCTGTCTACTGTCTATTTTGTCGTTGGCGGTTCTTCGTGGCGGGGAGTAGGAATAGGAGGGGAGGAAAGAGACAAAAGCCGAGACACAGAGAGAGAGAGAGAGAGAGAGAGAGAGAGAGAGAGAGCACGCTGAGAAACCGCGCCAGAGAAGCGTTCGGCGATCGCGGGAGCCGATCGCGGGAGCCGATCGCTGATGACAGGAAGGCGTACTTCGCGCTTTCCCCCTTGCTCGTTTCCTCCCCCCGTCGACCCCGCGCTACCTACCACGCGCCCGCCCGCTGTGCACCGCCGGATCCAGAGCACCGTGATGGTACGATGGAGATATGTGTTCTGAAAGCCGCGCTGCTCACCGCTAACTTACGATACTCTGCCGGGCGTCCCGCGTGTCTGGTTACTCGTCAATCAAACGGCCGTACGGAAAAAAAAAAAAAAAAAAAAAAAAAAAAAAAAAAAAACAAAAAAACGGCCGTAACTACAACCCAAAGGACAACAGCACCAGCGCGAGGCCGGTGCACACACGGAAAGGACGAATTGATGGGCCCCAGTCCGAAAGTGGGGAGCGGTCATCGCGGTCACATGGTCGGTAGGATTGATTCCGCGTTTTTCAAATCTCGGCGGGAATACTAACCCACTCTCTGTGTCGATACCAGCAGGTTCGGGACATCCCTTAGCGTGGCCCCTTCGCAAGGATGAGGACGGCCAGCTTGTTCTGTGCTTAGCTCTTCAGGCTGTCCGTGTGCATGCATCCTACCGTAAACATCCCAACGTCTTTTGGACATGCCATGTGAGAGATGGGCCATTGCCATGTCCTCCTTCACCACTACCATCTTCCTCCTACACAACCTACCCTCGTTATGACTATGCTGGATAGGAAAGATAGCTTTTTATACATGTATCACCAGGGTGCATTATGCTTCTGCAAGACCCTAGCCGTCGGCCAAAATCCATGGCAAGGAATGTCCTCTTCAAAACCGCCACTTTTCTTGGCAAATTGGTACAGATGTTTCTATATGCTCCCCGCTTCAGACAACGCACTACTCTAACAGACCTCGAAAGGTCTATTTGTGGAGGGTCTTGAGGATGTCCTTCCAGAGAACCGTCGTGATAAGCGAGGGAACCAATATCGTATTGCGGCACCCTCGACAGCACAGTTTCGAAACGTTCTAACACATTTTCACACTACCAGTTTCGCGAGGTAGTGGAATGATTCTTAACTAACCAAACTTGTGTTGTGCAAGTAGTGTAACGAAACTCTTTCTTAGCGTTTTTCAAGAAACATTTCACAAGTGTTCCTGGGGAAATGAGTTTGGAAAACAAAAGGCATTTGCCCATATGACATTTGTTACCTTTCTAGTGTCGAAGAAACAGACAAACAAGTTCAAATCCTGGTGGATACAAATAATATTGGGACCACCCCCTCCACCTCTAGTTTAAAATTAAAAAATACAAATTGTAAGTTTCGTCTCTCACAAGTGCAACCGATGTGAAACACAATGTTGATCCTCCAAAGGCATGTTCGAACTACCCTTTCTTACAAATTTCGGTGTTTTTTTTTAAATTGCTTCATGAAACTTCGTCCAACCCATTAGGAGGTTAAACTCTTACAAGTTTATAGAGGCCTTATTGACGATTAAATCATAACTTCATGCGGTGTTTTTTTTTAATTGCTTCATCAAACTTCGACCAACCCATTAGGAGGTTAAACTCTTACAAGTTTATAGAGGCCTTACTGATGATTGAATCACAACTTGATGTAAATTTTTCAAAAGGGAATATGACAAAGTCAATTGATAAGTGTCAAAGTTATGCTTAGTGATGAGGTTGACAACTTGCATATTATATTTATAAGACTAACAATAAATGTGGCAAAAAGATTGACCTCATACGTATTAAAGACCTCACACAATCATATTTTTTTTAACAATTTATCATGATTATGATCGAAGTTTAAATACTTAAGACACAAGAAAATTAACCCCACATTGTTCGCATTATTGAAAAAGTGAGGATATTGATCCAACAAATAGTAACAACCAGGATTTTAAATAATTTACCATATAATTATATATGTAAATAATATAATAGATTATTTTCGTTCGATTGTGTTATTGGCATTTTTTATCACTTCTATGTTTATAAAATATTTTTATATTGAAAATATCACTTTATTGTATAGTAAAATTTGTAGGTGCACAGATAAAGGTTAAAAAAAAATAGATTTTTTTTTAAGGTTTGTTTTATCAACCTTTCAGCCTTTTACACTCATCTATCAAACTATCAGTACTTCTTATCTGAAAAAGGAAACATCATGCGAGCCACACAAAAAAAAAAAAAAAAGAGGGGGCTCCATTTGATTAGTGCTACCAGTCATTTTTATTCGAAGGTCAAGCCCAAAATTAATGGTGACACGTGAACCGCAACTCTAAAAGAAAAAGTAGAAAATGTACTAGTGGTCTAAGAGGTTGAACCCCCAATAGTTTTAGAGACTTGATTGATGCTTTAAGACACACAAATCAAAATGAAATATAACGAAGTTTTTTTCTGCAAGCATTCAATACTATATCCACTACCGAAACAAACAATCTGCAAATATTTTAAAAAGGTGAATCAATACAACTAAAACATAAAGATTTTTCAATGAAAATGACAAAAAGATTGACGACCATGGTTACACCATTAAAAATATTACAATATTATAATTATGATATAAAATAATTATGCGAAACTATGTTAGAGTCATAAAAACGAGTTATAATTGCAGTATGGACCAAAATATAACTTTCAATTGTACTTTCGGACAATGTATACAATCCAACTTTCTGGCCAGGTAGGGTGTGCGAAGTGCAATTGCAAATTGTATTTTGGTTAATAGTACAATAATAACTCGTTTTTCAGACTCCCGTGTAGTTACCCCAAATAATTAACCATGATTATGGTAAAAGTAAAAACTTTACGTCTTAAACCACTAGTATATCTGTCAGTGCTGGAAAATTACAATGTTGTCCCCGAAGAAATCAGTGGTGGGACCTAGGGGCGGCGAATCCCATTAATCTTAGTTTTTTTTTGCTCGCGCGTGAAACGAAAAGGAAAAAATAAAAAACTTATGTACTGCAATGATGTCAGGCAAGGTAGTCTAGAAGGTCGTGCTTACAGTCTTCCTCTACAGAATGCATCATACAGCAAAGACGGTCACATTTTGAAACTTGTTGTTTGTTTTGTTCTTTTTCTCATTTGTTTGTTATGAGTCCCTTGCCAACGAGGCAAGGCGTAATAGGTGATCTACGTTGGCTGTGTTTCCTTAGGGGATTGTAACCCTGATGTATCCAGTCGTTTTCAAGGTCAAATTGGTGTTTTCGTTTTTTTTTTTTTTTTTTTTTTTTTTTTTTTTTTTTTTTTTTTTTTTTTTTTTTTTTTTCTGAAATATGACAATATGAACATATTATCTGCTCGAGCTGTGTTCCCTCAGAGGATTGTAACCCTCGTCAAACTGGGACTTAGAGGAATGTATCCAACTATTTTCACGGACGAATACGTGTTTTTTTTTTTTTTATGGGTGGGGGGGGGATTTGACAATGTGACCACGGGGCTAAGATGCCCTCACTGAGGACACACTCGCACTACCACTTCCAAGAATGTGTACAACTGCAATCACGGTCAGAGCATTGTTTCCTTTTCTTTTTCTATGAGTTTCACGGCCGCATTTTTTTTTTTTTTTTCCCCCGTGAGAGTACTATAAAAAAATGGAGTGGAACCCAGACTCGGTAAACTCGGAGTGTAGTGAAATTCAGTGTCGACAAAAAGAGGCTCGGAGGTACAGGTGGTTCAAGCCGTAAAAAACATAATCTCGTATTTTTCAAACTTTAAAAGCGTAAGAAGATTGATTCGACTAATAATAAAAATTATGGAAGATAATTTATCATGATTATACATATGCAACTATGTATACATCGTAGGCACATGTGCAATCTGTTATAATATACAAGGATAATTTTCCATCAAATTATTATTTTGTCAACCTTGAAGTTTTATGAAATTTTTAGTACTTATAATATATTTTGAGCCTGTTCGTCCACAAATCTTCGCACCTATTCAACCATTTAACCTTCTTCGTCAACATCAGTAGGACCATAACCAAGCGTAAAAGTAACTAAAATTTCTTATTAGTACATTCATGTGAGCAACGTAAGCTCGTGAGATACCTGCACAATTCCAACCAGCTTGTTGGGGAGATATTCCATCACCCTTGTGTTTCGACCGAGTCATCATCACCCACATCCGCCGAGTCGGCGATACGGATCACTTCCGTCTGTGGTACGACAACGACATACTGTTGTTATGCCCGATGCTCGGTAAGATTGAAGATCGCATCCAGTTTCCAACATACGGAATCCCCTCATCTTTACAGTAACGTTGTAACTCATCTGCATTGCAGTCCTTCAACTCGTGCATGATCGAGTCACGATAATGTAGGCAGGCTAACGCACGTCCAACCAGCGTTAGCCTCCCGCTTTGTGGTGACTTCATCAGGTAGGACTTCACCAACTTCAATAACGGAGTTTTGACTGGGGTCTTCTTCTTCTCCGGAATCGGGGTACGTACTTGCTTCGATCTTGCCCGAGTCATGTGAAGATTAACTTTGTTCGCCTTGATACCCCCCCCTTTTGGGGTTCTCTTAGGTGGTAGCTCCATTGGAGGGCTATTCTCCAACACAACATCCTCCCCTCGTTTTCTCTTCTCGCTAATACATAAACGACGTGTCTCAACACTCAATTCCTACGCGACGCTAGTCTCATTGTTCCCGCTACTGTAGTCTGAATTATCCTCCTCCGCGGACCCGTACTCCACCTTCTTCAAGTTCTTCCCTTTCGCATCACTGAATCCTCCCTCCAGAGTCGGCAACACCAATGTCTTCCACTGGTGTATCCAATCATCCTTAATCTCGCTCACCATCAATGCGGCATGTACCGTAACGTCCTTTTTCATCTTAGCCCGTAACGCCGCCTCCTGTTTCACCTTTTTTTCCTTCTTGCATATGTTTGCTTCACATCGTAACTCTTCTTGAGCTCTCCTAACTTCTTCTTCCTCCAATCTCCGCTTCTCCTCCTCCTTCTCCTTCTTCCTTTCCAACTTGTGTCGAGTTTGCTCCTCCTTCTTTGCTTGAACCTCGTCGAAGTGCTCCTTGATTGATGCAACGCCTTTCGAAAGTTCGGCCACGTCATCACGTAGCTCCGATTCCTTCCTCGGTGGAGAATACTCCCTTCTCGATTCGTACCTTCTTGGTGACCGAGATCTTCGGGAGTCGGATGGCATGGAAGAACGACATAAGAGTTGTCACCGGTCTCGGAGGGGGCACTAATTAGCATAGTGCCCCAACTCGTTGCAGTTAAAACACGTTATCGGAGGTCTATACGGTCTGCAATCCTTATCATCTTGTCGGTCCGAGTTCCGATCCCTGTAATCATGCTGGTTTGAGCTCCGGTCACGGACATCTCGTCGGTAGGAGCCCGACATCTTCACTGCTTCGGAGGTTACACCTTCCTCACTTGGAACACAAGTAGTCTTTCCGTCTTGATCTTTTTTAGCTCGCAGCGCACGTCTATGTAAAGTCAACCCACGCCACAAAAACTTCTTCTTCGTGGCACACATCAAGCGTCAAAGTAGTAACGTCGCAGTACACAGATAATGACACTCACTTCAACTCGGTAGGCTTCCCCATGGAAGTTCACGTATGCAATAAGATGATATTGATGGTTCAACCATAGTGAGATATCACACACAAAGTGTAATCACATGAGTGAGGAATACACAAGTGAGAGTACACAATGAACGTATACACACAGTCACTGTAGTGACACGTAGACATAGTAAAGTAACCCATAGGTCACATCAACATATCGTTTGCAACCTTCCTGACTTCGGATACCACCACACGATCATCGAATTTAATACGAAATGTAAGATCACTTGTGAGACTCAAGTGAAAATGGTCACGAAAGTAATGCGATACTAATCTCCGCAGGTACTTCCTAGTAGATTTTCTAAAAAAGTCCTTAATCACGTGGTAAATCCGTAACACTGCTCTCATACCCCAACTATACAAATCTTTTAGCTTACTGGGTTTACGTAGTATGCCAATCAGAATTTGCTTCAAAAATTTACACTTAGTTTTCCACTTCACGACATGAACGATCTAAAAAACGCCACCCTGTTCCCACAAACTTTTACATTATTTCAAAGGTCGTCAAACTGACGCAAACTTGTTATTGCTTTCCCCAAACATCCGTGACAATTTCTTCCACTTAGGCAACCAATCCCTCCCGCCTTTGGATAAAACCACAAGCGGTTGGTTGCCCGAGTTCAAAGAATCATCAAGAAAAGCATGGAGTTCAAGAAAGTGAGACCCCTTCTCAATCCAATGAATCACAGGGGATCTACTCTTCCACATGCATCCGCTATTTGCAACCCTTTGGTCCATTTTTTTTCCCTTCGTTCGGGTTTCCTCTTACCGGACTTCTTCAATTGCTTATTTCCTACGGAATTAAGAAACGGGGACCATCTGCTTATATACTCCTCTAGTTTGCCCAAGTCCTTCCCTTCAAACGTATCTACAGGAAGAAGAACATAATTGTCTGTCCCAAAAGAATAAATCCATCTGTGAAAATGAGACTGTGTACGTTTCCGGACTGCATATAGATGTTCCCGACACTTGATGTCACAGGTACGTGCCGTTTTACCAACGCAGCAAAGTTTAGAATAGGGAGACACAACTACGTAAACCAAACCAACCTGACACAAGAAATTAATCTTGTAAGTAGCATAAAGCGTCCTCCACGAATCTTCGTACTTGTTCAACCATTTAATCTTCTTCGTCAACATCAGTAGAACCATAACTAAGCGTAAAAGTAACTCAAATTTCCGATTACTACATACCTATGAGCTACGTAAGCTCGTGAGGTACCTGCACAATTCCAACCAGCTTTTTGGAGAGATATTCCATCACCCCCGTGTTTCGACCGAGTCATCATCACCCACATCCGCCGAGTCGGCGATACGGATCACTTTCGTCTTTGGTAGGGCAACGACATACTGTTGTTGTGCCGATGCTCGACAATATTGAAGATCACATCCACTTTCCCAACATACAAAATCCCCTCATCTTTACAGTGGTTGTAGCTCATCTGCATTGCAGTCCTTCAACTTGTGCATGATCGAGTCACGATAATGTAGGCGGGCTAACGCATGTCCAGCCGGCGTTAGGCTCCCGCTTGGTGGTAACTTCATCGGGCCGGACTTCACCAACTTCGATAATGGAGTCTGACTGGGTTTTTTTCTTCGCCGGATTTTGTGTCCAGGCTATCAGAGTGGCCCGGGTCCACCTGCCCGGCAAGGCCAAAAAGAAATAAAAAAATAAAAAAATAAATTTTTTATTATTATTATTATTTTTTTTTTAATTGGCAAAACATATGAATGTGACACTCCGACAAAAGTTGTTTAGTTTATTTTTCTGCATAACATAGTTTTTTTGGTTTTTTTTTTTTTTTTTTTTTTTTTTTTGCTGGGACATTCTTTAGCCCTTGCACGACCAGGCCGCCAAAAGGTGACTCGGGCAGCTCGACTGGTAGCCTAGGTTACTGCAGCATTTCCACAAGTCACCAAACTTTTTATATGTGTGGAAAATGTTGTCAGAATTTTTATTTATTATGGTAAGAGTGAAAACACCAAGTTTTAAGCCGCAAAAAAAATAATCTCATTTTTTCAAACTTCAAAAGCGTAATAAGATTGATCTAACTAATAATAAAAATCATGAAAGACAATTTATCATATTTATACATATGTAACTATGTGCACAACATAGGCACATATACAATCTGTTATAATATACATGGATAATTTGTTCTCAAATTATTATTTCGTTAACCTTTTATTTTTATTAATGTTTTAAAACTTAAAATATATTTTAAGGGTGATAAATATTTTGACTTGAGAGAGTGAAAATAATTTTATTTTTTATTTTTTTCAATTTTGATTTTATCGACTTCATCCATAATTTAACATTATCACGTGTGTCCTTGCGATCCATTATACACAATACTTTGTAATGTATTAAAACTACAATTTTAATACTTTATACTTAGTGATTTTTTTTATTTATTTTTTCATTGCTAACAATAAGCTCAAAGTTCTTTTAATGAAAGAATGTTATGAGCTCCGCGGAGGAACATGTAGTTGAACATAAAATTAACCTTATGTACTGCAATGATGTAGGATAGGGTAGTCTAGAAAACCGTGCTCACAGTCTTCCTTCACAGAATGTATCTTACAACAAAGACGGTTGCATTGTAAAACTCTTTTTTTTTTTTTTTTTTTTTTTTCCTCGTTTGTTTGTTATGAGTCCCCTGGCAACGAGGCAAGGCGGAATACGTTATCAGCTCTACTTGTGTTTCCTCAGAGGATTGTAACCTTGATCACATTTGCACTTAGAAGAATGTATCGAGCCATTTTCCCGACCGAATCTGTGTTTCCGTTTTTTTTTCCCTTGTTTTTTGTTTTACGAATCAAACAATTTGAATCCGTGATCTGCTCGAGCTGTGTTTCCTCAGAGAATTGTAACCCTGATTATAATGGTACTTTTTGAAACACATCCAGCCATTTTCACGGTCGGATCCGTGTTTCTGTTTTTTTTTTTCTTGTTTTGTGTTTCTAGAATCTGACAACTTGACCACGGGGTTGAGATGCCCTCAGTGAGGGCACAGTCACACTACCACTTCCGACAATGTATACAACTGCAATTACGGCTAAAACTTTGTTTTTTTTTTCTTGTTTACTTGTTTTGTGAGTTTCATGGCCGCAACTTTTTTTTTTAAAATATTCTTCGCGTGAGAGTACCATAAAGAAAATGGAGTGGGACCCAGGCTCGGCGAAACTCGGAGTGCAGTGAAATTTAGGGTCGGCAAAAACAGGCTCGGAGATACTAGTGGTTTAAGCAAAGGAAAAAAACACACACTATGTTATGAAAAATGAAATCCCAAAATGTTTGCCTAGAGTTCATTCAGAAATTCACTGTAAAATTGAAAATAAAAATAAAAATAAAACATTAAACATACCCCCTGTATCCGTCCATTGTTTTGTTTTTTGTATCTATTGGTGTGATACTATTTTGATGCTCTAGTATATTAAGAGAATGCAACTTCGCTGGGGAGAGAAAGATAGTTTACTTTTGATGATCAGAAGCTGACATAACACTCAGAGAGAGAGAGAGAGAGAGGGAGAGAGAGAGAGAGAGAGAGAGAGAGAGAAGGAGACATTTGATTCCATCATGATCTTGCTACGATAGCATGCAATTGCTACGATGTTGCTCATTCTCGTGATGAGGATATGCCTATATGATCAAGAGACCTTTTACCCCATCACACCTGGAGGATTGATCGACGGTGCGTATAAAGGCAGGGACAACTTTCTACTCTCTCGCGTCGTCAACTCCCTTCCCTCTCATCTCACCATCTTCTTTCCCTGTCATCTCGCCATCTCCTTTCCCCCTCCACAGCTGATGCAAATATAAACACTAGAGATAAGAAAACACCAGATTTAACGTATTTGGGTGAGCGCAAAATGGCCTCACCATCGAATTTGGGGGGGGAAAAAAATAAATGAGCGGGTTTTTGCACTCACTCAGGTAGATAAGGAGGATGCGCACCCGAGCAGGGCTCGACGAAGCCAGCTGCTCGGGACAGGGTCTGCCTGGAGGCTGGCGGAATGTTTATTCATTAAGTGCTACGCCTGGTCCTACCCGAGGCAGGTGACAATTTTTTTTCCACCTTCCCTATTGAGGTTCTCTTCCGAGCCTCATAAATTTCAGGAGAGCCTCAATCATGACTCTCAACTTGGTTGGGGCCATGTACTTGTAGTTCAGCCCTGGTGACTCTATACGAGCGGCAAAACAACTCATATGAGTCGATTGCAATATATATATATATATATATTGTCAAATAGAACTGCCCGGTAAACCGTAGGCAGAGAGGGAGAAGAGGACAACAAACGAGGGGCTGTGACAAACT